GATTATTTTACAAGAAAACGCTTTAAGATCAAAGTTTCTGAACTTGTTTGTCATTTCATGAAACCCTAGGTGGCTAAACGTCTCTACAGTTTAGTTTGCTACAGGTTCCGCTGAGTTTGTAGAAGTGCTTTTCCAGTCCAAAAACCCGTTGATGATAACATGACGTCTCTTTTTTGTCTGCCGCGGGCGTCTTATCTGCTACCTCCCATGCTCGAGGTGCTATAAACACAACAAGAACAAGCCTTTTAGTATTGATATTTAAATACAGTAGTAAGTATTAAGTATGACTAACCCTCCCCCAACCCTATCATATATCGGTGTTCCAAAACAATCCAACGGCGGCCATGTTGGTGTACCAAACCAATCCCGTGGGAGTTGAACTTTTTTCTTCAGTGAACACTTTCTTTAGTTCCAATAAATTTGTATGCGACGTGAGTGGTAACGCTCTATAAGATTTCAAGTAGGAGGCTTTCCTTGCGAGCTCAGACATCTCTTACAGAAACCAGAATAAAGTTATACAGGGAGAAAGTTTTTAGAGAAACTGTGGTGTTGCGTCGGTGGGAGAGTATAGCAGGTACTTTAGTGTTAACAACTGAGTTGAAAACGTAAATTAGCCACCGTAAAGGGTAAAAAAGCTGACGTTTCGAGCGTGAGCCCTTCGCCCTTCGCCCTTCGCCCTGACGAGGGGCTAACGCTCGAAATGTTATCTTTTTTACCCTTTACGGTGACCAATTTACGTTTTCAACTCAGTTGTTAACGCAAAATTACCAGAATAAATTTAGCTCGGTGATTCAGGACAGAACACCTGCGATAGCTCCGGGTATCAGGTGCCTGATTTACTGAAAACACTGTTCAGTAAAAAAAAAAAAAGAGGGTTAGCTCTTGTCAGTGTTAAAGTGTGAACAATATTAACCTTCAGGGACCGATTCGTATGTCAAACTCCCTGAAAAAGGTTAAGGTATTTTAAAAGGTTTTTTTTAAGCAAATTTTTCTCTTAACGGAGTTTACAGCGTTTCATTTTAAGATAGCTCAAAACAGATTGCCCTTTTTCGAGAAAAGTTCTTCAAATTATTTCTCAAAACAGTTTGGCTCTTCGTAATAAGTATAGTAGTAAACTATACTACTAGTATAAAATTCGGCACAGAAATAAAAGAAACACCATAACATCATTTTTCCCCAGATAATTTACAATACAATGCATGTGCACTACAATAAACCTTATTCAAACATGGTGAGGTTTAAAGCTGCAAGCTTGTGGGAACGTGTAGAAAATAAAGTAAACAAAAAAAAAAAAAAATTGTCACCATGGAAACCATAGGACACATCCAGTCGTGCCTCCAAAATCGAAAACTAAATCAGTATTATGGTGGGACGGGAAAATATTTAGCTCGAAGTCATGACGTACGGACCGGACGCAACGAGGTCCGTGTCTCATGATCGAGAGCCAAATATTTTCCCGTCCGGCCCGGGCACACTCAGCTACACGAGCACAAAAAAGAAATTCTGAAATTTAAACTTTTCCTTTACTTTTTTTTCAGAGGGCACGGTAACGAATCCTGCAGTCTGATTGGTTCTTTACCCGGTCAGTATTTTCTTATCTCTGCCCACGGGCCACGGTGACGCCTTCGTGAATCGCTGAGTACATCCCAAATTTCGTTGCCATTTTTATAAATATATCTCGCTTTTCCGTCTGGGTAGTATTTTTAGGCAGACACGTCGGTCACTACCTCAAGCCGATAAATAACTTATGAATCCTCTCTTTTCTCTCTCTCAAATCACTTTGGTTGACAGAAAAATATTGGTTTCAGAATGAATTTGTATAAGCAATAGTGTCATTACGTTGGTTGACAAGCGGCATAAAAACCTTCAGCAGTTAATTTAAATCGTTCACAAAAAGTACCTAAAAAGTGAAAACGTGAGGTATTTGATTACAGTTAAACTGAACGGTGGAATTTTCATTCATTTAATATCTGAATTTTCTCAAACAATTTGTTCGTAGCGAAAGAGCGAGCGAAGTTTTACATTCAGTTCTACAACAAATATACGCTCTCTGTGAGTCTTTCCGGGTCCGTTCAATTTGGACATTTGTACCGTAAATTGCACAACAGAAACTGAAGGAATTTATTGAGAGAATGGCGCATTAAATCCCCTTGGAGTGTGCCATTCGAATTTAGTTTTTGTGGAGGAAAGACCAGATTTACACACGACATTGCAGCAAACAAATGAGCAAACTCGCACAACTTCAAAATTTAAGAATTTGTTCATGCTGAGCGTGCGTATATCGAGTAATGGATACACGCGGAAAGTTTGGAGAGCACGAAAAATGCGTAAGAGTAGCTCGAGGCGCAGCCAAGAGCAACTCTAGCTTTTTGAGTGCTCTCCAAACTTCCCAAGTGCATCCATAACTCAACTGATATACGCACAGCTAAAAGCATGAGCAAATTCTTTTATAACTGAGCAACAACAAGAATCTGCGCGAAGAAACCTTTTATTGTGATAGAGTGCAATTGTGATTGTTCTGGTTTTGGTAAATTTCCAATGAACTGTGTATTTTATTCCCCAGGTTGAACAAATTTAAAAACGACGCCGGTAAAAAACGGAAATTTTACCTTTGAATGTCGTTTATGACCAATTGGTGACTATTTTTTATTCCCAGTGAATGTCTGTCTTTCGGCCAAAATTTGCTCCAGCTGGTCTTACGACAAATTTGCGAAACGTGCAACTTGGGAGTTTTTTTCGGCTTTATTTCTGTTGCTTGTTGGATCAAGACCCAAACGGTCAATGCCGATAGAAAAATTGGCCAGTTCTTCTCTGGTTTCTTCCATATTTCAAACAGAAGGAAAACTGCACCGCAGCTTAACAGGATGGAAACTCTGAAGCCAGGTTAAAAAAAATGCTCACGTCATCTTATTTACGCACGGGCGTGCGTAAATAAGGATTTTGTTCATAGCGGCTCAATAGGACTAAAATAGGGCAAGCACCGGCGCTGTTATAGAAAAAATTTGAATTTACTCACAATTACCTTCCTCGCCGTTTACTTAATGAACAGAGGTAAATCTTCGTACATGAATGAATCGTCGATGACAGTGAATAATACTTTCCCTTAGGTCATTGAATGTTTTTGAAGGAAACATTGTCGTGACAGTCCTTGCCAAACTAGTTCCGTTGTTTTTCAAATGTTCTTACTTTTTTTTTGTTTCTTTTCTTACGCGCTCTCTTATTGACAGGTGTCAGACAGTGACAGATACTGGTAAAAATAATGTTTCAAAGTTTGTTTGGAAGCCTTTTAAATCACCTTTATCATTACGCAAATGAAAATGTTTCGGTAAGGCATCTCTCTTTAATTTGCATCACCTCTTTTTTAACTACCATTTACTCGTTAAAAAATTGTTCAGTTTATGGAAGATCTTGTCGTATTTACAGCCCTAAATCATTCTGGTTCTTTCGGAAAGAATTTCGTCAAGTTAAAAAAATAATATGTTATTTACCGGCTAAGGGTTGGTCCGTATGGTGAAAAACTGTGACCTCGGTCTTGAAAATGCTGCATATACATCAAGACCTCGATCATAGTTTTTCACCATACGAACCTTCCGGCCGGCAAACTGACATTTATTTATTTTTTCAAGTCATAACAAGAAACTCCCAATTTCTTGAAAAACGGCTTTTTCCTGACCGGCTTAAGTCAACCCGTCCGGCCCTGTACACGTCAGCTTTAACTGTGGTTTTCTAGGGGATTAGGCGAGCGGGGCCAGACGGGTCATACGATAATTACGAATATGCCTCAACTGCACGCGCGAGATTTGTATCACAAGTTGCCGGTTTTCATTGTCACGCCATCATCAAAACGTACAACAAATAAAGTCAAGAATCAAAAAGACATAAAATCCTGTAGCCGTCTTCAGCGGACTTATAATCATCTATATGAGTACTTATTCTCATACTAGGACTGTTCAGATCACGAAATCTAAGCGGATGTCACTTTTTTTTAAACCTACGTGACAGCATTCTTGGCCGCCATTTTAATGTCGCTTCGCGCCAAAGCTTAGAAATTCAATCTTGCTTTCTCACAAGACGAAAAACCCTAACAAGCTGGAAATTTGTAAAAAGTAAGTCTTCAACAGTTCTTATAACTAACCGAACTAAAATCTCAAAGGGATTGATAATTCCTTATTTTCTAATTTTGAAGACGTGACGTGAAAACCAGATAAAGCGCGCTCGCGACTGAAACTATTCCTAGCCTTCAGTGTGGCATCCCCAGTGAGAATGTCAGGACAGCCATCGATAATGGAGTGGGTTAATAATAACAATAGCAATCTTTCATCAGGAAAATTTCATTACATCACTGTGGTTTTCAGAAAGGTCCTAGGAGACTTGGCAAGAGACTTGGGAACCCCTTTAGAAGACGACCTAAATATGAAGGACTAAGCCGACTAGACAAAGCATCCCATTTACTTCACGACCTTACTGAACAATTCAGTGATAAGCGTTCCAATTACCGCCGATACCAGAACCTAAACAAAGGAAATTAATTAATTAACCGCACAACGGAAATGTTGACCTTTAAAAGCTAATCATACTCTCGTTGTAATCTGAGGTTAATTGAGCAGCTTATACTATAAAGAAGGAAAATTTTAACTGTGACAGGCCGTCATCGAAGATCTCATATTCGGTAAAATGCCTCATCAAAAGGGATTGATAATTTCTTATTTTCTAATTTTAATGACGTCACGTGACTGAAACTCTTTCGAGCCTTTAGCGTGGTGTCCCCTCCGTGAATATGTCATTATTACAAAGGACAGACATCAATAATGGAGCAGGTTTAGGTAAGAGACTAAGGAACCCCTTAACGTGACGACCTAAATATGAAGGACTAAGCCGACTAGACAAAGCATCCCATTAAATTCACGACCTTAATGAAGATTTCAATAATAAGGGTACCAATTACCGCCAATACCAGAACCTAAACAAAAGAAATTAATTTATTAACCGCACAACGGAAATATTGACCTTTAAAAATCACACCGTTGTCATCAGAGGTTATTTGAGCAGCTTACACTGACAAGGAAACTTTATTACGACAGACCGTGATCGAAAATCCTTTAGTCCGTAACAATGTCTCATCAAAAGACCGAAGTGGTTTCCAAGTCCAACGAATTAACTTTTCTGAGGACAGTGGATTTGGAATGCTGTATTTGGTGAGTTGAATATCATTGCTGGCTGTCATATTTTGCCATCGTTTTTGTTACCGCTCATTTCCAGTGCTATTATACCGCCACATTCCTTTTCAGTTATAGCATCGTGTCAAGGCCCGTTACCCTTGCCTGTGGGCACTCTGGCTGCAAAAATTGCATGGAAACTTGGGCAGAATCGACAGCCACACCGTTGTGTCCCCAGTGTCGGGCAACGTTCCGAAAAGAAGAGCTGAGGTTAAATGTGGCAATGGATAAGGCGACCCGAGATTTGCCTGTTAAATGTAACAGCCAAGGCTGCCAGTGGAAGGGCAACTATAGCGATGCCAACGATCACCTCAGACATTGCCCAAAAGTACGAGAGAGGTGCCCCAACGAAGGATGCCAGCACGTGGCGGCACGGGAAGAAATGACAGCACACGCTTGCCCAAAAGAAAGGATCGCATGTTCAGGATGCCAACTGAGCGTAACCAGGGAAAGACTCCAATTCCACCGTACATCTTTATGCAGAAACTCTGCAGTTCTATGCCCCTTGAGATGTGGAGCATCATTACCACGGTATGTTGTATTAATTAGGATAATTCAGCATTGCGATATTTTGGTGTTAGGCGATTGTCATAAGTGAAGTATTTTTCGGTAATTTTTAGCATGAATTGCAGTATTGCTGTATTCTCTTATCATTTCAATCGTCAATAGCAGGTGACAAACTTATCCTTCTGTTATCCAAATCGAGGACTACGAGCAGTCCTAACTTGTGTCTGGTGCCACGCGATCAGCTGCATTCCTTAAAAATAACTGACAGAGAGGAATTAAATTTCATAAGCAAGAAACGATTTGAGAAACAGAAATAATGCCTATTTTTCAGTGGGGATCTAAGAGAGGGGCCTAGTGATACTTCCAATTACTTTAAGTCCCCCTGACCACCGCTCTCCCCAAAGCCCCAAAGTTTATATCAAGGTCAATTAATCTACAGAGCCAATTGGCGTGACCCTTGAGGTGTCATGTTTTTCCCACTTTTTTTTTTTTATCAAACCACTGTTGGAATATATGATACCAGTCAAAATGGAAGATCTAGAACTAACACATACCTCTTTTTGAATTGTAGAATGAACATCAACCTACATCTACACAAATGCCCAGAGAAGGCTTCAATGTGCCAAGTACCTGGCTGCAAAAAATTGTGAAAAAGAAGGACATGAATGTCCATTTGAAGGAAGCAAGTACCTCGCATTTTGCACTCCAATCAGGAGAAATCAAACGACTGCGAGGAATAATATACTACAAGGTAAGCTGCCTTTTCACCAACCTAAAAATCAATAAAACATGCACTCTTTTAAATGCCAAAACCAGCGAAGTAAGTGGAAAAAAGGATGGCAACTGTTGCATTTACCTTCAAAATCTTACATTGAAAATCTTTTTCTGGTGCATTTCATAATATCCATAAAATCCATTTCTGTTTCAGAAATGCAACATAGAACCCATAGAGCCCAAAGTGGAAAGGGTTGTCTCCTTTTGCTGGAGAATTCCAAATTTTGTGGAGAGCAGGAGACAACAAGCTTCAGATGCCATTGGAGACAAGCCCCTTACAAGTGGGCCATTTATAGATGACAACTGCAGATGGAGAGGACTGTACTCCGGACAACAAAAATTGTTCCTGCAGCTGCTCTCAGCATCCCATCCAGTTACTGGGGAAATTCAGTAAGAACTTTAATTATTTCATGCAGAGTGTTTGTGAGTGCACTTAAAGGAAAATGCTACCCTTGCCTTCTTTCATGTCCCAAGAGTGACCAACACTATTTTCATCACAAATCGAATTATACTAAACCAGGAGAAAAGGTTATGAGAATTTGTTCATAGATTGTCAAAGGGAAATTGATATTATGTTTGGAAAAAAATCACCTTTATAACTAAGGGGGCTTTAGAAGAAATGATGCATAACACTAAATTTGCTGTCTGTGTGTTGCATGAAAAAAACATTTCATTGTACCTATTTGTATATGACTGTGCCAGAACTTGCTAACGGCTGTGTTCAAAGCCAAACCCACCCATGTACTACTCCTGTTTAAGCTGAGAGACAATACGGATATCTGGCATAAAAATACACAATGATTGTTGAGTGGAACAATGTTATGATATGTAAATATATATTCTATTTTCTTTTTGAAGAATTGTAATGGCCCCTGGAAGTGACAATGAACAAGTGCTAGACTTGGACATAGTGTCCCTGAAGGAAGGAGAAATGTGGGGTAGGAGGATACCAAATGTGGACAGTCTACTGGACGGAAATGGCAGCCTTGATGTTAAATTTATTATTTACTACTTCAACTTGTACTAATTTCATGAACAGGTCATAAAATGTTCAATTCAGTTATTATTATTTTTATTAACCTCTTACTTAACAGTCATAAATTTCTTGCTTATTTTTTTTGTCATGACTGCAAATTAAGAATATGGTTTTTGCAGTCTATAAAGAGGGTTGGGTCAGGCCGTTTAAAAACTAAGGTTAAATCAACAAGCATTGATTATTTTGTTAAAAGTGAACTGTTGCAGTTGTTTAATGGCTTTTTGGTGGATCTATTAACACATTCATAACTGGATTGAACATTTTAAGACCTGTTAATAATGGAAACCTCTTTGCTCTCAACTATCAAACCAATTCCTGAAAATTACTCACTTTTCACAAAATTGGCAAATCTGTCTTCATCTAGCAACATTTAATCAATCTGGATTCAAAAATACATTTCTCTCACTGATAAACACAGCTTGAACTGTACTTTAGCTTCTTTTAACAATTACAGTAGCCCGCCACACTTTCTTAATTTCGTGAAATGTCGTCAATCAACCATGGTCTCTGATAATGCATATGTTCAGTATAGTTAATAATATTCTTCTTAATATTTGATTGCAAGGGATGAACATTCATTACTTTTCAGACTTTTTTTTTGTCATATTCTCCAAAAGATTTTCATATTTCATTAGAGTTCTGTTCCTTTTCCTTGTTACAAAAGACGAATTAAAATAGAAACACGAAAGTGTATTGAGCTCATATAATAAAAATAGAATGTGTGTATTGTTGCATGTTGTTATGTATACTTTTTTGTGGGGTTTTTGGGGCTGGTAAAATGGAGGGAGACACTTTCTTATTACACAACTGAGATTTAAAATAACCGAGAAACGTACACTCCAGGATTGAGCTTAAGTTTGAAACTGAACAAAATGTTACTAGAAACTATGAACCAGCAACTCGGAACACCCTCCCGTAAAGAGCCAATGCTCACCTTAGTGTCATTTCCTTCATCTCCTTAGCAGTATAAATCATTCTATGCTCTTCTTCTGTCACTCTTCTTCTTTTTTTTCGAATTCGACCGAAAACATACTCCTAAAAAGTCCCGAATTCACGAACTAAACTCGACAAATTTGCCAGAAACATGGCCACTCTCGCTCGTCCCATGCTCCCTCCCAAGTCTTGGTACCAGATTACCTCTCATTTGCTGAATGAAGATTAAACCGAGCTCGATGCCAAATCGAGCTCAATATGAAACCTATAGAATGCGAGGCAAACCGTGCTCGATAGAATACGTGGCAAACCGAGCTCGATAAAAATAACTGAGGTCGATAAGAGCAGATTGAGTTCGTCGAGCTCGTCTTTTTAATCGAGCACGATATAGTTGAATCGAGCTCGAATAGAATTGACTGCATTTCGAGCTCGTTGAACCGAAGTTGGTTTGAAATGGTACTCGAATTGCTATTCGAGTACGGTGAACATGAATCGAGCTCGGTTGCCCAGATACTAAATGTGGTCCCCCAACCCGCCATAGACGGAACAAGAAAGTGAGATATTCTTGCTAAAAGGAAGGGTGTATCAAGACGTTTCAGTCATTGGCTGCCATCCAAACCCAGCCCAACAAAGACAAACACAGTGAAGCTGACAGAAAAAATCGGCCTATGATAAGATCAAGAGGAAATGGACGAAGACCAGCTTGCCATTCTATAGGGGATGGCTACGTTCAAGGTCGGACCTCAGGTAAAATTCTGATGAACAATCCGTAACTAGCCAAGTGGATGGGCTCTTTGGAAAAAACAAAAAACAGCCACCTTTTCTCGGAAAGCAAAGAATTATCTCCTAGACGTGTGCTGGACAGGGGAGGAAACTAGTAAGGTAACCACCTCTAATGTGACTTCCCAAATATCGAGTTTAAGCGACGACACCAGCCAGAAATGTTGTCCAAGACTTACCGTTTGATACAGCAGCAAATCGCTCGATATTTCAGCCAGTTATCTGCCGTAACAAACATTGTTTTATTTACGAGGTCCCCCTCTGTAAATATGAATGAGGATGAAGAGGCCGATGCCAATGATCTAGCTTCAGAAGTCGAAACTGACCGAACAAGGCAGAAGATAAGGAGGGACCTTGCAAAATTTAGACGAAGACTGCAGGAGATGGTACAGCTGCTACTAAGCTAAAAAAAAAGACATTTGCATCTCACTTTTCTTTCATATTTATTGTCTTTGGTCACGGAAACAACTGACTATGTCTTGGGATTTCATCAAGGGAAATTTGCGGGAAGCCTACTGGTCAAATTACTGCTGGCTCATTCTTAATAAATTTTATAAGTCACGCAATTAAACGCCGGCAACACTCGATCTAGAGAGATGTAGATTTATATGTAGTAATAGAATGCTTGAAAAAAATATGCAGATATTTTACGATCGAGGCAGGCAAATAATCATAGAGATCTGCAGATTATTCTGAAATTGTTATCTAGCAGACAGCATGAAAATCGCGTCTGTGTAATACCTACGGAGAGTCACGCAACAGATGTTAGCTTAGCAGAGTTCTGCATGGAAATGTTCGATGGCCGTAAGTGACAACGACAACCCTATTTCAATTTTATTTTCGGGATAGAAGCACAGTTTTTAGTCTGATAGAACTATTGATATTTGCTCTGAAGCGAGAGCGCAGAATTTCTGGTCTGTAAAAGCCGAAGTTGTAGCACACTGGAACTTGTAGTAATATTAACCAACACGCAGTATGTGACTTTAAAATCTCCTAAAATGAGCAATGATGATGATAAACAATCAAATTATAGACTTATGAATGTTTTGTGCCGTACAAAAGCCATATCTACTGATTTAGCAAATCTCCAAAGTAATACACGACTGAAGAAAGAAACGCTACGATTTTCTCTTCGATTTTTCGCCTACATGCATCTCTCTAAAGGTGAAATTTTCCATTCCTACGAAAAACCTCGAAATTTTTTCACATTTTTCACCTTTCTTGATCAATCATCTTGTACAAAGAGCTAAAAAATGTAGGTTTATTTTAGTCAAGTGACCGCCTAGAGCAAGAATTGCGTGACAGGTGTAGTTGAGAGAAACTTGTGACAGTCACAGATTTTAAAAGGCATCCAAGACAAAAATACGGTAGTGCCCAAAGATTTTATTGATGATTTTCAGAGATACAATAATGGGTTATAAAGGGTAATTAAGATTTGTGTTGTAGCTTTCTGGCAACGGGAGATATTTGACCTCAAAGTTGTCAAATATCTTGATGAATCGAAAAGTCTAAAAACCCAGTCGTATATTTACCTCTGTTGATTGACAAGCCGTCAATTAATGTGACTGATACTTGCGGCGGACATCAGCTAAGGATGGAATAATAGGTGTACAAACTCTCAGAGTAATTGAATAAATACCATCGCAGTGAGAGCTTCATACATTTTAGCTATTTTGAAGCGATTTGCTTGGTGAAAACCAAGAAAAACTGGGGGGTGGTCTATCTCCCCCCGGAAAAAACCAAAACAGAAACCAGTTTGTCTTTTTTAGTTTTGGGGTAGACCCTTTAAACTGCCAAAGTTTCATTGAAATCGGTGAGATGGCATGTAGCACGACTGCCCGGTGCTCTCGTGGACACGCTCTTAAATCGAATGGAGAACAACACAGTTAGATACAACCGAGAACTAAACTGGACACAATCAACAACTAATTGTGAAACTTCGTCTGCAAAATGCGTCAGAATTCTGTAGAAGAACATCTTGAACATTATCTTGAGCAAACTTGGCATATTCGACTCGTTTCCTTGCGTCCAAAGGTACAGACAAACAAAAAACAGTAAGGGAGTGAAAAAAGCCAAACAAAACAAGAGAAAGTCTATTGTCTAGTGACATAGAATACCTTGTAGGCAAGAAATATTTCATACTCACCTACCGGTCTACCAGGAGGAGCTTAGGGTTTCACAAACCTTTTATATGAGTAGCTACCGTTAAAGAGTTAGCCGGTGGTGATTACTTAAGGGTCGTAAAAAATTCACATATAAAATCTTAACAAGGTAATTTGGTGTCATTAGCCGAGTTGATCACCACTTCAGTCAACGTTAGCCCTTCGCCATCGCTCTGACGAAGGGCTAACGCTCGAAACGTCAATTTCAGAACTATAAACGGTGGCTTATTTACGTTATCAACTCAGTTTCTGATACCAAATTACCTTGTTAAACTCTCCAACCAACGAAGCACCACAGTTCTTTAGAAACTTGGCAATCTTCCAAACAAGTTGAAATACTTTTTCATGTTTTTGGCTCTGGCATACATGACGTTCCGTATTCAGTAAAGAGAATGGAAGACCAGTGGACTCAGGATTGTTACACTGCGCATGCTGTTCGCGAAGATACCGCGTTACGATCCTGTCCAACGTAGGGGTTGACGGTGGGCGTGCACAGGGACAAAGATCGGAAGGTAGAAGACGCTGACCAAAACAAACAAGCAGGGAAAAAAATTGATCGACGTTCCATAAAGAATATTGTTACAAAAAATATTAATAAAATAATAATATCGTAATAATCAACAAATTATTATCCTTCTTGACAAATAAATTTACACGAGATCAAAAACAGATTTTTTCCATGAGTTTCTTTGTTCTTATAGCGGGGGTCAGATAAGCACACGCCAAAATTATGATCAGCATTCAGATGCAGTTATCCTAACCGCTCAATCATCTAAACATTGTTATTACCTTTTCCTGTTGGTGTTCTAGGGTCGTTAAATTGGTACCGCGTCAGGGATGAAGTCTGACCGAAAGAGCGAGCACTAACTTACTGAACGATTTACTAGTTGATTAGCTGATGGACGGACAAGCTGACTGACTGATGGACGAACAGGCTGAATGACTGACGGACAGCCGCAGTGACAGACTAACTGACTAACAAATTAACTGACTGACGGGCTAATTGACTGACTGACTGACGGACAGACGCAGTGATGGACAGACTAACTAATAAACTGACTGACTGACGGACAGACGGAATGACTGACAGACCAACTGTTATACTAATTGACTGACTGCCTGACAGAGACAGAGTAACTGACAGACTGACAAAAAAACCGGCTGACGGGCTGATTGACTGACTGAATGACTGACAGACTAATAAAGGGGCAAGTTTCTAATGAAGCGCTGTGGTGCTGCGTCGGCGTGAGAGTATAACAGGGTAATTCAGCATTGCCAGCTGAGTTGATAACGTAAATTGGCCACCGTAAAGAGTTTAAAAGCTGACGTTTCGAACGTTAGCCCTACATCAGTTGCTCTGACGAAGAGCCAACGTTCGAAATGTCAGCTTTACTCTTTATGGTGGCCAATTTACGTTATCAACTCAGTTGATAATACTAAATTGACCGACAGACTGTCTAACGGATGGGCTGATTGACTGACTGACTGGCTGATAGATTGACAAGCTCAATCACTTACTAACGGCTGACTAACTGATGGACTGGTGGACTAAGGAACGGAATGATGAACTGAAGGACAGATGGACTGACTTAATTTGTCGATTATTTTTCCTGTAAAAGAGTTTTACAAAAGAATTGCAGAAAAAAAAAGACAAATTTGGTCATTTTCACCATAACCCATTCACGCAGACTCGAGCCATTATTTCATGGCTTTAGAAAATGCGATCGCTGTTACGAGATGATCGTATTTTCCTCGTGAATCAAGGAACCTTGTGATCGCTGAATACACTTAACAACCACAACATGCACCACATATTTTCCTATTAGTAGGCGT